ATGGGCTCTTAAGCCATTCAACCGTTTAAAAATCCTGGTAACGATGGCATCTATCCTGTGTTCTTGCAGGAGGGTGGAGACCAGTCCCCCCAGACTCCCCTTGGTGTGTCTATTCAGGACCAGCATAGCCAGTGGAGTAATACAAACATAATGGAGGACCTCAAGGGTGGTTATCATACCGAAGCCTGGAAGGGACACATATGCTGTGCCAAGGCTTTTAGACCTATCAGCCTTACATCGTTTCTCCTGATGACCATGATTAAATTAGTGGATAGGCGAATAAAGGATAGGGTCCTTGTTGGCCGGAAACTGGCCACTGTATTCCCGGAAGAAGTTGTTGCCCCGTTCGAGTGTGCAAGAGTATGTTTGGAGGGTGGTCTGACAGGCCACACCATATACATGAACTCGGACAGCAAAGCAGCGCTTATGGTACTTGAAAGTTTTGAATTTACCATTAAGGCAGTATGGGACTGTCATCAGGCCATGAAAGTCCTGGGAGAGAACAACCAGGTTATCATTAGTTGGGTTCCAGGGCACAAAGGTGTTGCTGGCAATGACGGAGCTGACAAGTGGGCAAACAAAGGAGCTGAAAGCCCGCTCATGGGTCCAGAGCCGACATGTGTTATTGCTTACAGCACAGCGACAGCACAGCAATTTTTTTGCCAGTGGTATTTGAATTTTAATGGGCATAGAACATTGAAGGAGCTGGAAAAGAACAGAAGGCAACATACAGTCAAAGAGAATGCTGCAGGCACCTACCGGTGCGATAGCGGCAAATGCCCTTGGGCTGAATAGTAAGACCCTGCTGAAGGTGGCTTCATCAGCGACCACTGGGTATTCTGCGGACATCTACACAAGATAGGAATTCTAGTTTAAAGCCTCTTATGTGGGAGGATGAGACAGCCTTCCACATGATATTTATGTGACCAGCCATAAAAGTTCTGCGTATGAGATCCCTTGGCCTATTGACGGGAGATCAAAGTGAAGAACAGGTTACCATAGTCAAAAGTATCTCATGGTTCACTAAGGACCTGGGATTGGACGGAAAATGAGGACTTGTGAATGAGGGTGCACAATAAGCTGTTCCAGCTGCGATGCAATCCCATGGTCTCTTGTAAGTAGGGGTGTGCGATGCAGCATATTTTTTTCGATTCGATGCATCGATGCGATTCAAAGAATTTCGATTCGAATCGATGCGATTCGATTCGATGCGATTCGATTCGATGCAGCACAGCATGATTTTCTTCAAAAATTAAATACAACATGTGTTTCTGTAATGGATCCTTTACCTTAAAAAAAGTTAAAGTAAAAAATGTACCTACAAAATAAAATTATGAACAAGAGGATAGTTGCTGACCTAACCTCATTAATGGACACTGCTAATTTTATGGTTGGCCTAAGGAAATTCACCCTTCACTAACAATTAGAATAAGCCTATATATCAATAAAGCAATCGTTAAGTTTATTATTATTGACCTGTATTAAATAAAATAGAGTTTATTTTATGACGTACGGTAGTATTGTTACTTAGTTTTCACATTTATATTTGTTGGCTTTCAATACTTCTGGTTCATTCTTAAATCAGCACGAACCAAAAAAGTTGATTATCAGTGTTTATTGTCTATTTTAGTGATGGTCGGATCCGGATATCGGACTACCGGATCCGCCGGATCTGAGCTAGAACCGACGCCCGATCGTATCCACAAAAAATCGGATCTTGGGCTGGATCCGGTTTTAATGGATCCAATTTTATTTATACTATTAACACAAAATGGACGAGTATTCGAGATTTTGAGTTTGAGTAAAGTACAATATAGAAATAAGCAAGAGAGGTAGTTGTCCTAACCTATTTTTATAGCTGTCAAGACAGAATAGGTCAACTCAAAGCAGTCGCCGGCGACTGACTGGCAATGGCAATGGTATACTGACTTGACACAGAATAGAATGACATGACCGGTAGTGATTTTGTTTTAAAGTAGGCCTACTGTTTCACAATAGAAAATTTCACTACTGAACTACGTAAGCAATAAATTTATGTTTATAAAAGTCAAAATAGAAACACTTTAAATAAAGGCAAAACAATAGACGGGAGGCAGGCGTTGTGCAATGACCTTGAAATGAGCGGAATAGTAACATTGAGTAGGGGAAGGGAAGGGTGAGACCTTTGAGCTATAGACTATTTAGACTAGACTTTCACCACTTCCCAAATGGCTGGGTACGGGGATTACAATTGCAGGTTTTTTCCTTGCCTGGTTTGACTTTTGTCTTTTTGTGTAGGAGATTTGAATAATCAAAAATATAATTTGAATTGACCACAATTATTTAGCATTGATAATACAATTTGCAAGGGACCAGGAGGAAATAGAACAAAACACTAAAATTAATAGAATAACAAACAAAGTAAACAACAAATTAAATACAGAACACAGTGATTTAACACTGTCACTGTCACTCAATGTTGTTGTCTAGAAGGGTCGGTGAACTAATCAATAAATAGCCAAAACCAGTTTCCTCCCCCTCTAACCACCACCCCCCCCCCTAAGCCGGGAGGCCCAACACTTTGTCCTTGAAACACCCTAGCCTCTGAAACAATAAACCCTTACACCTGCGTTGCTGTTTTGACAACAGGTTTATGAATGCGTTCACTATTTTTCATTTTCCAGAATTAACTATCAATTATTATTATTTGCAAGTTACAAATAGGAAACTACATGACATTATGGTACCTATTCAATGACCCATGTATTATCAAAAATTTATAATTGATTACTTATTTTGATAATAAAAAGCATTCATTACAGCACGCAGCACTTATTGATATATATATATATATACTGTATATATAATCATCAAAGTATCTGTTACTTTATACAAAATAAAATAGGTACAAAATTGTGTGGCCAGTCAAAATTTATAAACAAACATTTTATTCAATAAAATACAGATGGTAAATAGGGGTTGGTTTAAAGGAAATAAAATACAAAACAGATTAATTAATTATTTTGATAAACGATAGAAAGGTTATGGGATTGATTGAACTAAAATAACCACAGGGAATCTTAAGTAGAAAAGTCGTCAACCACAATCTGTTTAATCAGTACATCGTTAGAGAGAGGGGGGGGGGGAGAGAGAGATAGCAGATAGGGGCGTTTGATAGGGAATCTGAAAAAGTAAACAAACAAGGAACAACGACGCGACAATACTCGTTTATAACCTTATTGTCAAATCTAGGTCTTTGTTAGACAAAAGAAAATCACACCGTTTTAAACTTTAACCTAATTTTATACTTTTTACAAACAAACACGTCCTACATAACGGTTCTTGATATTTATCAATGTATCTTAGCAATCGTCACTTGCTCCATTGAAACACGAACGTTGATTGGCTGACATGACAGTGCAGCGTGGCCTCTCGACCAATGAGAACTCTTGTTACAAACTTTGATTTATCTTAGATGGTCAACATTTACCATTCATTATAATATTACAAAATCGACATGGACTATGCGTATGGTGTTTTTCAATCAAAACTTATGTTATAGTAGCACTTAAAACTTCACTTTAACTCTTAAACTAGGTAGATAGTACAGATATAATATGGATCTACTTTTTGGTGCAATAGGCAAGTGCAAGCCTAACCCTCTGACTTCGATGTTGTAATTGAATCAATTTTTCTAATGATGCGTAATGCAGGGATGAAACTGAACATTTAGACAAGTTTAGGTTATTTATTTTGTTCTAAAAATTTTAAGATCTGACTTATTGATACAGACATTTTTTAGTATAATTTCGTGTTGAGGACACTTGCGCGCCGGTTGTCTGAGACTGAATTCTGACTGTCTGACATCTTGAAATGTAGATTGTATTGTGTTGTGCAATATCATCTGCCTGCAGAGAGAACAGCTGAAAATAAACTTTAGCTGTTTTGAACTAAATAGTGTGCTAAGTTGGTTACTAAAGTTGTTAGCGTGATTACAAAACTAATAGATATCAAATAAATAAATGTTAAAATAAAATATCTATCCATCCCTGTCGGCTGTCGGTATCGGCGGAATCGGGCGAAATCGATGTTTGGCTATCGATTCTTGATACCGATATTCCTAGTATCGGCAATGTCCGAGTATCGGTGGTAGCGATAATTGACACTTCCCTATCTAAAACTCATTTTGGAGTCCTGAATTAGTTTTAAATATGCATCGGGACGTAATCGTTGCATCGGGAGCTAACCGATGCATCGGTCTTTTTCGATGCATCGAGGCCAAATCGATGCATCGTGATTTCGATGCATGCTGAATCGAATCGCGATTCGATGCATCGAATCGAATCAAATCGAAATTTCAATGCATTTTCGATGCATCGCACACCCCTACTTGTAAGCATGGCAATTTGTAAAAAAAAACATTTTTCGTGATTGAGGCCACATCATCCCTGATCATTTTGCAAATGTATGATGATTCCTCACTATTCCAGCAGTGATCGTGATTTTTAACAATAGCGGCAACAGCTGTAATCATTTCTTACGATCGCAGCAACTTGCGTGATCATTACTACGATCGCAGCAACTTCTGTAATCATTTCCTATGATCGCGGCAACATCAGTGATTTGTGATAGTTTCCCGCCATCGCAATCTTTGATTACGCAAAATTAGAAAATCTGTGATTTTGGGCGGTATTTTTGGCGAACTGGCAAAGGTTGTTACTGCCCGGTTCCTTTTTACTTACAATTCACAGATTTTTCCCGGTTATCAAAATTTACATACAATTCCCGGTTTCCAGGTTGGGTGGACACCCTGATCTTTAATGTAAAAATGTCCTAAAATGGGTACCTATTTTATGATAATTATTATAAAAAGGTTTTTCCAAACTGAAAACCAATATTATATGTTCAACCAAGTCACGGAAAAATGATAGGAATGTTGCCTGAATTGTGTTTTGCTACCATGACCATTAAATGGTTTTGCAACTATATCCACTAAACCACTGGTGTTTCCTACAACTAACCTTCTCCACAGATATGAGTCTCCCATGCAGCTCAGTATGATGCAGACTCTGGACAGCCTTGGTGGCATCCTCAGGATTTGACATTGTGACATATCCGTAACACCGAGCTCCAGGAGTGCGTGCATTGGTTACCACCTGACAACCATCCAACAAAGTCTAGGATTATATCGAATTAAACAACACTTTCTCCATATACAGTAGAGTCTCGCAAACTCTGCGTAATGTGGGCTGGAATGGTGCCGAGTTTGTGAAATGCCGGGTTATCGGGAAGTACGGTTAAAAATAAGAACAATACAAATTTTAAACTTTTTAACCCCCTTCTTGATTTTTATTTATATTAAAAGTCAGTATCGAGTCATCAGATAATAGTTCAACAAATCATTAGTACGAGTTGCGAACAATTTGACTTAAGCTCGCATAAGTTCATGATTAACTCGGACTCAAAAAATCACTAATTTTCTGAGCCAAGTGATGGCCGAGTTATCCAGACTGCCAGGTTATCGAGTGCCGAGTTTGCGGGACTCTACTGTACTATGGTAAAGAGGGAGAAAGTAAAAGGAATAATACTATGTAGACTATTATTATGGACAATCTCATCTTTTTATTTTTAACTATATGAAAAATTAACAAGTAGTACATTTCCTTTAAACCTTCCCGAACGTTGGCGGTATATATACGTCAACGACAATATTCAGTTGCAACCTTGGCCCCAACTCTAGTATGTATACCCAACTCAATCTAAAGGTCACAAGCGTAGGACGCTTATTTTAAAGTTGTTTCTTGGCCGTCAACAGTTACCTTAGGCCATTAATCAAAATTATGTTTGCGATAATTTTTAAAATTTATTTCTGATTGGTGGGTTGGTATCACTGATCTCGTAACATCTATTGTTTACTTAACCGGCCTGAGTCATCCTCATGTTATTGTTCCACGCAGACAGTCTGTTTACGTGTTCTTGAGTGAAGTAAATCTAGTAAGATAAGATTAGTGTGGTAATATATTCAGTGCATTAGAATGTGTTGTGTTGTTTATTGAAAATGGCATTTAGATTGAATGATCCGAATCAAATTTTTTTTATTTTAGGCCTATTATAATAAGTTAAGTCTGTTTTGTCTTTGGTAATAATAAAGAAGTCATATTGTTTTACCATCATTTTTTAAAATTTCATTAACCTTTTAGTTTGTTAAAAATAAATGTTTTTCCTAAACAAAATTTAAAAGCGTAACGACACGTCATAAGGATCAATGTATTCCTTAGCGAGCGTTAGACGTATATACAAACAATTATGGTCATACATAATACCCCCCAACTAAACAAATTTCCATTTGCCTGATTGGATTTACACTAAAATGTCACCTTAAAATATCATATATATTCCCTATTTAAATATAACTAGCTGTACCCGCGGGCTTTGCCCCGCTTAACTTCATAAGTATTCGCATGGCTCAATCACGTCCTGGTTGAAGTTCGCTCGCTACGCTCACTCACCTTTTGGTTGCAAATTAGCTGTTGTCATAAATTTAAAAAAAGTCATCCCTTTTATTGTTTATAATACTTTGATAAAGGTTTTTATGTTTTAATATTTAACATTGGAGAATTTAAACGTTGTTGAGTGCACAGGTGTGCTGCGATTGGGGTTTAATACATTTGGACTTATTAAAAAGTAAAATAGTTTTCTGTGCTGCACTCTGTAGAAACACTGTGGCACTATTTCAAATCATGACTAATGCTAATATAGAATGTTGTTGTACCATATTTTGATATATATAAAAAATTATTTAAAAAAATTAAAATTATGTACTGGCTAATAGTCAGCCGGGGTCGCCGGGAATCCGGATTTCGGGTTTAAACAAACGCGGTGGCCGTCGAGGCTGCTCGATCGCTTTTGCTGGTAGACTCCCGACGAAGACGGACGTGCGACAAATGCAGCCCTCATTTGGAGGTAATACTTAGCATTAGTTATTTGTTTTAAACACTTTAAACAACTTCTCTACATTCTTGACAAAATCTTAAAGCTGATTTATTCTTTATTGTTGAATTAATTTATAAAAAAAAGTATACAAAATGGGTATTTCATTTCTAGGGTTCACGTTCTGGGCAAGTTTTCCCCTCTCCATAACAGATTTCTTTTGTCGTGATTCTTTTGTGCTCTATTAGGTTTAAGTGTTTTATTCAATAGTTTGTGTTAAAAATAAAGCAGTCTTAATAATGTGTATTAATAATTTTCCTGAACTAATCACAGTAGTTACAAAATTAAATAATGTATGTAATGATTTAAAATAAAAGGTAAATGTAAAATTTGGTACATACATATTATGCGCTACTCTGCTACTACTGTGATAAAGTTCTTTGGAAACATTGTTTTGTTTTACGTGAAATAAAAATGGCTAGTATTAAAGTTGATCTCTTAACAAAAGAAGAATTACTGTACGAATTAAAAGTAAGAAATATTGTTTGTGAAGGAAGTACAACGGTAAACACTTTACGAAAGAAACTCAGGCAATGTATTAGGGAAAATATTCCCGCTTTAGCTGAAAATCTAGTGGGAAAAATTAGTGTTAATTCAGAACTAGAAATATTAGAGTTAAAAATAGGACAGTGTCAAGAATCTGTAGCTGATCTGACTGAAACAAGCAGGCCAATCGATGTATGTAGAAATGAAAATAAAATAGAACATTCTCCCAATAGGTTAAATATAATTCTTAAATTTAAATTAGATGAATCTCAGAGAAATACGTGTAAAGAACTAATGGATAAGATTAGGGCTATGTCAGAATCCTTAAGCAAATTAAATATTGATGTTAGTGTAAAAGAAAATGCTGTTCGTAGGATTAGTGAATCTAATATAGAGGAAGAAGAATTGCTGGATGATGTATTTACGAGAGATGAGTCACGTGTGGCTGTTAGCATAAGCGAGAATTTGAATTCTGTAGATGTACCACCAAGTAACTTAAACTCTGTAAATGTACCTCCAAGTAACTTAAATATTCCACCTACTGATACTAAGGTTTTCCGCAAATTACCAAATCCACTGGAAGCATATTTTAAGGATTTCAAATCAACTGATGGCTTACACTGTGGTGATTTCATTGAATTTCTAAAACTAATGTATAAAATAAAAGAGGAAACAGAAATGTCTGATCGGGCAATAGTTGAGATGTTTGTGTACAGAACGTCAGGAGCATTACATAACAAGTTAATTGAAAATAGGAACAAAGCTATCGCTGATTTACATTCAGAATTAATGAGATGTTTTATGCCATTAAGTTTAAGGGATAGCTTGATTAGAAAGTTTGTAAACACGCAGCGATATCACATCAAGCATCGGCATTGTGATATTTATTTATTTATAAATGCTTTTCATTTCAATTATTCATTATTCATCTTCAAATTATTCATCTACGTCCTATCCTACCCTAATAAAACTAGTTTTGTTATAATTTAAGTAATAAAACCGGGCCTGATTGTAAGTTACATATAAACTGCACAATATTAATCACTACTCTACTAACATTGAAATACCACCACCGAAGCAAACCTACAGAATAAGTGAATTTCTATTTGCGAGATTGTATTTATACTAAATTATCTCATAAAAATATTTACATTCATTCCCTATTTAAATAACATTAATATAATGAGTACGAAGGTTTGCTGCAACTGTAAGAGTTAAAAATTGGGTTTTTGATGGTTCGTTATTTTATTTCCAAAGTAGTGAGGCCGTATTTTAATAGCCAAAGACACTATAACCAATCCAGTGAATACAGAAAAAAGATTTGAATCTTAATCGGTAATCTAGTTTTCCCGGAGAATACAGCGTAAATTTACATTTTGTCAGTACAGACAGAATGACAGACAGACAGACAGACAGAAATTGAGATGAGACTCGTTTCGGCTTTCTTAGGCTATGAAACGTAAAAATATCCTAAAACTCCATGATTCTACGCAATGGACAGATAAAACTGTAATTTTATTTTTATAGAATAAGACTGCTACTCTACTAGTCAAATTTGCACAGTTTCAAGCACTCGACACAAGACCAGCTGGTCGGAGTCTAACAACATTGAATCACTGCAAGGGATGAGCGCAGAGGTAGACGAACATTCAGATGACTTCTGAGAATTTCAACTTTCTCGTTTTGCAATGTGCCGTTATAGCCTTACTTGGAAGAGGGGTATTATTGGACCACGAATGAGTTTGTATTTGTTTAGTTTGAAATAAATCCGACCTGAATATAAAATAGCAAATGCAAGTCCGCAGTTTGCGTTTTTGATCAGTAACGTAATTAAAATTTACCAAAACTAAAGTTAAGTGTCTTAATCTAGTGCAACAAACCTAAATATTGACTACTGGTTTTGATTAACGTCAATTAGTAATACTTAACGTTATTTAAGCCTATTGTATGTTTGATAACTGACATCCTGACTTTTATTTCAGTTACTAATTTCAATATTATTGTTAAACAATGCAATAATGTTATTTCATAAAATTTGTACCTGAGAAATTTAAACATGAACATACATTTCTCGTAAGTGTAAGAAATTTTAAAATGATACGATTTGTAATGATACGATATTAAAACGAGCAATTCAGCATTCTTATTTAGAAACACGACCGAAGCGTGTCTATATGTCCGCAGTAAAAGTAAAAAGTAGGCCTATGTATTTATGTGTTTCGTCATGTGTGTAAGTGTAAAATTCGTGTACGTGTTTTCAAAACTTTATGACGCACCTAATGGGGAGGTTCAAGCTCTTATATTAAGGACTGATGATGGCGATTTAACGTCGCCGAAATGCATATCCTGCAACAGGATTCTACAGGATCGACCGGCGGACACAAGAAATGTATTCTTTGATTGAAAGATTTTTTTAAACTATAGACTACGGTAAGCAATAAAATGCATTTACATACGCTTGTAAATTTAGTTACCCATTCTTCATTATGTAACGACATTTGATGTAATATGCCAGAAACTCAGTACAGTAGACTCCCTCTTTTCCGGACACCTTTTAACCGGACATCGGTTTAACCGGACTACACTCAACTGAAATTAAATCTCTTTAACCGGACAATTTTTATCAGCACATTGGTTTAACCGGACTAGATCAGCAGGAAGTGGCCGGTACTGAAACGACTGTTCTTGTGGGAAAGATTTGAGAACAGTAATCACATGTCTAAATGCAATGCTCTCCTAAATTTAAGTCGAATATCACCGTAAACGGTCCGTTTTAATGAGTTTTTGGGGACGTCGGCTTAACCGGAAAACCCGTTATCCGGACTGGCCTCGGTCCCTAGGAGTTCGGATAAGAGGGAGTCTACTGTATCTAAATCCCGTAAACTGATGCCTAGCCAATGCCGAGCTCCTAGCGCCAATGCCGCGCTTTGCAATTTTATGCATATTTTTAATCGCTTGAAAATTATACAAGTAAACTCCGTATCAAAAAAAAGCTTCAAATAAAAAAAAATTCATACTTTTATCTATGACATTTTTTTCATAGAGCCGCAGGAATTTTTTTCCTGACCAAAAAATAAAAAAAGATCCTCCCTTACTAATTTTTCATATTTTTAGTGGTGTTAAAAAACTATCATCAGTCTTCATTTGCCTAAATAAATTATAAAACATACGTTAAGGTTGAAACTAACTACATAGTAATAAGCACTAGTTTAAAAAAAAAAAATAACATATCAATTTGAAATTTTTATGTTAACAAATAAGTGTAGCAGAGCAGGTTGAGTGAATGTATGTTTGTGTAAAACAGAGAGGTTCCTTCGGCCCATCCACCTCAGTATCCCACCAATTCGAATGGTGGGCACGGACCGTTTTTCTACGACACAGCGCGCTATCTAGTAGAGTATCATACATTGATGGATAGGTCTTGCAATTTATAGTAATAAACAGCACAACGAATTAAATTATGCATATGATAGATTACCTAAAACAGTTAACCTGAGGACTAAAAGATTCCACAAGTGGAGTATTTAATCTATATTTATATTGTTATATGAAAATGTAGCTGTTACCTTAGCTCCAATGACTTTGCCATATTTAGAGAAAACTTGCTTGAGATCTGTTGCTCGTGTAGTGGTGGCTAATCCACTAACCCAAAGGTTTCTGCTGCTGCTGCTTCCTTGAGCTATTTTCTTGTCTGCAATATTTAAATAAAAATTAATAACTCATTGAAAAAGTAAAATATACATTTTTAACTGTTTTTATTTTAATGAATTGATTCATAAATTTTGTTCAGTGTGTTCTGGTGAGAGGATAGTACTATAAGCATTATGTATTAAATAAATAATTCTTTATTGTCACATAAAGTTTTGAATCATAGCATAGCTAAAAAAACAGATGACATTGTCAAGATAAAAACTAACCTAAAATACACAATAATATGTCTTATGCACTTAAATACCTTTCAATAAAATTGACAATGACTTTTACTGAAGTTAATGTCTTGACATTAATTATGCCACAGAAGAGTTTTGCTCTAAAAAAAAGTTAATTTTTCCAAAATTAAATTCTGCTAAACAAATGTTCTGGAAATTTATAGCCTAATCACGTTCCCAAGTCATACTTACTTTTGTCATCTTTGGAAGCTTTATCACCAGCAGAAGAGCTAAATAAATGACAAAAAAAAATCATATTAGATAGAAAGAGATTCAAGTTTATAAGTATAGATGGCACATTCTAAAATAATTAGTGCCCGAGTTCTAAACATTGAGGTATTGGATTTACTATTTAATTAGTAATTAAATCCTTTGCTAGGTTTCATCCATAAACTCTTTCCTTTCCCCCACCCCTCTACCAACACAGTACAAAATTATATAACCATATACTTAAAAATTGATGTTCCAATGATTTAAAACACTTTTTAATTGAGTACCAGAATGTTCTTTTGTCTAATTCAATTTCTTTATTTATAAATAGGATTTTACAAATTTTTTAGAGTGTGAGAGGTTCAAAACTTGAGTTAACATTATTGATTAGCCATCCATGAGTGTGACCCTTTTGTAATAGAGCCAAGAATAGAATTTTACTAATGTATTACATGAACAATATGTTTGGTCTTTTGTGGCTAAATCAGTGTGGAACAATCAAGAGACTTAAACAATGGTAACCAGGAATCACAAGTTTAGATTTAAACTAGAGAAAACAACAAAATATTAAATAATTTGTTTATGTGGTAAACCCATACATTACTATACTACCAAATCAGTGAAAGGGGTGATTTTAACTTATAATAGACTAAAATACTATAACACCATCTTCAATTTGGTGAATAAAAAAAAATACCTATTTGTTTCGTGTGGAATAACTACAAAAAGTTATTCTATGTTTAAGAGCCATTTTCATCATCCAATAAACAGGTTTTAAACAGAACTAAAGCACTATATTTTTTATATAAATATATATTATATGATTTTTGTTTGATTTACTAAAATTAGTTTGTACTGTACTTGTAGTCAAATAAAATTTGTCAAACAATCATACCAAGACTTAAAACAATAGTAATTGAAGATAAATCTTTTTAATTAGAATACTATCCTTTCATTTTACTTGAATTTAAAGTTATGATTATATTTATATTTCATAAGCACGCCAATTGAAAGATAATTTTTCCATTCCTAAATGTTTCTATTTGTCCTATTTCAAGTCAGGTAACCTACCTTTAACTCTAATGTATAAAAGACTCCTGAAGAGGCAACCATAGAACTTACATATCTAGGTATATGTAGAACACATATACCATCATACACTACGATAAAAAAAATTTAGATTTTAAAATTGAAGCTAAAAGACATTATAGAACAGTTTTGTACAGTGGAATTTGGAAAAATAAATCTCAACGGGAGCTATTAAGTACATATCAAAATTGTGACGGAATAATAAACTTTTAAGCCAATTACAAACTTCTTACCAGACTAAGTGATATGTTTGTTAAAATGTGTAAAACGCCAACACAAGCATATTATTCAGTTAAAAAGTAGATAGATAATCATTCCTAATAAAAGGTATGGGCAGAAAACATACGAAGATAGATAGATTAAAAAATTAAAAACGTTGGTCATGAACTATGTGTTAGGCCTATAGTCAAATTAATTTTGGTAACAAGTCCCTAACTGGTGCAACATATTTACATTTCCTATTTTATTGCAAACCGAAATAACACTTGCACATTAGGAAAGCATTATTTCGGAAGGAAAGCTGGAAACATTCTCAAATGTTGGCTTCCTTAGTAAAAAAGACATAATAGTATTTTTTTGCGATCAAGAGGAATCTTTCTTGATCAAAGAGGAAAAATTTTGATTTAAGGTTTTCATTTCATCAGTTTATTACATTATTTACAATATAAATTTGTTTAGATTACACTACCTCATTTTAAAGTTGATAGACTTGAACCCATGGACCATTTACCATTGCTAACCACTTTTACATTACCGAATTGACGCAAACTTCAACATTCACTTGTGATCTAGATGGCTTGTGGTGTAATCTGCTGAAATAATAAGGAGAACCATGTTTCTTCAGAATAGAAGATCCTTCTGCCATGTAGAGTTGGTAGATATCTTCATCTTGGTATCTACATATCCTGACATCTATATATTCTGACAATCTAGTCAGAAGAATCTCTCAGGTGGAAAAAAATCTAAACAAACCTCTTCCCATCCATCTTCTCTTGATTTGTTTTATCTTGAGCCTTCTCCCTGGTAGAAATCTTCTTGTGGCCGGAACTCGCATGGCTTTCATCTGAGACAGTGACATCAAGTAGTGAGAAAAATGTTTAGAAGATAAAAGCCTCTCTTCAGTGACAACCCTTAGTGAAGAACGACGAGGGAATCCTTAGTTCCTTGAAAATACTTCAACAGAATATTCAGTGCAAAAATAGGATAAGATGCTTTAAAAAAACTTAATTGAAAAGGTACTAACTAAACAACATCCTACTTCAAAATCTGAGATCACAAACAACTACATACTTAAGTATGGCTGGAGTTTGTCCAAGGTGGGAGTTTGAGGGTAGAAACTTTCTATGTGTAATTGTATCTTACTAAAGCACTTTTCACTAATTCTGGACAAGCAGATTATGATTCTTCTGCTTCACACAGCAATGAGTTCCTTGTCTTGATTGCACTTAAAAAGTCCAACTTTCAGGACGACGCAACAGATAAATTATCTACAACTTTTTTAAACCTAAATTTTCTTCGCATATTTGCTATCAGTCCAATGATCTTCAAAAGTGGAGGTTGGCATGTTTTCAGTCAATTTCTTCTCAATTTCTTCTTTCTTCTGACAGCACTTCTTTCTTCTAAAAATACACTTCTCTCAGTCGAAATCGTCCAACAAGTTTGAGTACTCCCACCTGGCATTACCAGTAAAGCACAGAGATACAAAAAGAACATCTACAATAACAACAATGACGAATGTAAAGGCTGATACTGCTAATAGGCTTCACTTGCTAATAAATATATCTACTGATTAAAATGCCCATGTCAATGGCATCAATTAAAAATAGTAATTTAGAGTGTTTTTCTTTTTTATTTGTCTGACTGGTCAGGTGTGACTGGTTCAGTTTGACAGTCTAATAAGAAATATAAAAGCAGACTTAAGAGTTATGCTAACAGATGTACTATATTGATTCAACTTTGAACTTATTTTTTAAAATTCGCAATAAAGTATTTATTTTACCTTTGTGGTCTTTTTCTTGACTGCTCTCTTCCTGAAAAATAGTAATATTACGTGTTAACAATCTTTTAAGTTAACAAAGCTTTTAGGTATTTACATAAGACTCTATCCTGGTCTGATCACATTGACAATGTTTGTAAATATTAAGAAACAAGTAACAGACGATTTTTTGAGAATGGCTTATTTTGCTTTCTTTGAAAGCATTCTGAGATATGGTATGATTGTTTGGGAAATGGAGTTGGTATAGATAATGTATAAATTATACAGAAGAAAGCTCTTAGAATACTTACTAATTCCTATAGTCTGGAGCATTGTAAACCACTTTTCATCCAAGCTGGAATCCTTACCATTGTCAACCTTTACACATTTATTAGAAGTATTACTCCATGTCAAAATGAATTTAAGTGATTACCACCCTAGAAGTATACATAACCACAACACTCGTAATAAAAATTAAGTTGAACCTTTAAAGCTGTAGACTCTTCAAAACTATGAATTATCATACCTATCTAGGATTAAGTATGTTCAACAAGCTGCCAAATGATGTCTGTAACGGTTTTTAGTAAAAAGCTCCATAAATGGAATTTAAAAAACACTTTTTATAATGTTAGTGAATTTGTTGATACTTGCCCACATGAGACTGATTTTTTGTAATTTAACTAAATATGTTGTATATACATGGTAATGTAAATGTTTTTCCTATGTAGGCTTACATGTCCTATGTGCTTTTACATTTTCTTTTTGTTAGACCCTTAGAAGTGATGTAAATATTGGATTATTCGATGCATAATATAGTCCAAGAATTTTAGGAATAATAAAGCCATTCGACCTAACAAATTCGGACTAAGTGGAAACTTTGCACAGTTGTTTAGTAAGCCTAAATAAATCAAATTTCAAAAGTCCCCATAAATCCCTGCTGTGCTTCAGCCGCCATCTTGGAAAATTTCACTTTTTTGACAATATTTCACAAACTATTGGTATTAGAGAATTTTTGTAAATACAAAAGTTAAAGAACGTCTAAAAATACATCTTTTAGCGAATTTCCCATATAGGGAATAAGCTATTAGAATAGAATAGAATAGAATAGAAAAGTGCTTTATTAATACATATTATGTACAGTAGGCTACATGAAATGGGTACGATAAATTGATTCATGCACATACAACAATGGTCATACGACCGTCTGCTGGGTTGGCATAATGTCCTCATAATGTCCATTCAATATTAATGAAATAAAATTGTTCCACATAATCAACATACTAAGCACTAAAACAAAATAAAATAACACTTCTTAATGCAACACATATACATACATATATACACATACACATGTATGCATACATACACATATATGTATACTCTAAACATATTGTATACAAAATTTTAAAAATTAAATTCCCTAACTAACTCCCATCTACGTTTCCATGCAATTTTTAAAAAACTTCCAAGGCCCCGCCAATCCTTCCCATTCAAATAATCCACAAACTCCTCATATTGTATTTTTTGTTTACCAAAATACAAGAGTCGCAAGTCATTGAACACCGGGCAACTAGCCACAAAGTGTAAAGCAGATTCATTCTCGTTTAAATTACACAAGGAACATGTGTGGTTTTTGTCGACAATCCACGGTTTATAGTTGAGATCTATAAGTTCTCCTCTACATTTTATTATCCAAGAAATGGTTCGGTTGTCTAAACCAGTTTCCAAGAAGCTATTGTTGCCAAGGTCAAAGTCAACGACGAGGTATTGAGAATGATAAGCTGAAGTACGCGCTCTGCCTAGACACTCAGCTCTCCAGCTATCTCTTGCTGCATTTACGACACTAACTAATTGAGACTTTAACCTACCACTCCCCGCCACCTCCATCGTATGTATATTCAGGTCTATTTGCACGCCATATTTGATTCCTAATGCTCTCCACGCTCGACACCAATCTACATTTTTTCTTAACACTTCAGCTGCTAATAATCTTGGTAAACGTTCAGGTGGTAGCCCCAATATATTTATTATATAATTAAGATTCATTGAGAGAGAATAAATGTGTAATTTATCTAGACCCGTTTCCAAGTACAGTGAGTAATTTGGCGTGTTATTAGGCAACTGAAACAGTTTCCTAATAAATAACTTTTGTACAGATTCTATCTTTTCGCTCTCTAAGTATCCCCATACCTGGCCTCCATAACATAATATTGATCTTACCACAGCGTTAAAACACACAAATTTTGAGGACAGATGCACCCTGTCATTGTTTATTAATTTGTTCCAGGCGGCGTTAATGGCTAATTTTGCAGCTGAGGACTTCATCTTAAAATGTTGTTCCCAACTTAGCATTGGCGTGAACAATACCCCTAGATATTTGTAAGAGTTAACAATCTCGACCTCTTTGCCTTTATAGAACCATTTATTACTTTTTGCCAATCTATCTCCTTTGCGAAAAACCATAATTTTGGATTTATTAGTATTAACTTGAAGGTTCCATAAATTGCATAAATTTCAAGTTTTCCAATCATTTGTTGCAGTACAACAGCCGTGGGAGCTATTAAAACTATGTCATCCGCATACATTAGGATATTTATTTTCTGACCTCCAAATAAACATCCGCCCTCTAAAAATTCTGGCAAATCATTTATAAATATTGAGAATAAAGTAGGGCTAAGATTACAACCCTGTTTTAAACCCATCTTGGACTCAAAACTACTTGTAATGCCGTTTTTACACCATACAGAAACATTGGTTCTATCGTAAAGATTTTCAAGAAGCTTGACAAATTTGGTTGAGACTCCTATACTAAATAATTTATAAATTAAGGCCTTTCTGTCTATAGTGTCGAAGGCTGCTGAAAAATCTACAAAAAAACAAAATAACTTGCCTTTTTTAATCGCACAACTTAAATTAATCATACATGATAAACTAAATATATTATCAATGGTAGAATATCCACGTCTGAACCCCCCTTGAAACTCTGTCAATATATTATTCTGAGTTAACCACACATTTAGTCTAGAATTCAGCAAACTCGTAAATATTTTACCACCACAGTCAATAAAGGAAAGTCCTCTATAATTCTCAACAGAATTTACATCTCCCTTTTTGTGCAGCGGGAATATAATTGATTTTTTAAAACTTTCCACTACCCTGCACTTGTTAAACATGTTATTATGAATACCCAATAATCTAGTGAGCAGTGAATCTGGAGCATTTTTATAAAACTCGTAGGGCACCCTATCGTGGCCCGGCGCTTTATTATCTTTTAATCTCGCGAGAACTGATTTTAACTCTAACATACTAAAATCTCTGTCCAAAACATCGTTTGTTATCATTGGTTCCGCATAACAGATCCCAGCTGATAATCGTGGCGGGTTTAATAATTTACTAAAATGGTTGATCCAATCCTGTGGTGCAATGTTACCCACGAACCTATCACTCCCGTATTTAAAACTGTTTAAAGCCGACCAAAATGTTTTCGCGTCAGTCCTGTGATTTAAACTGGCAATCGTGTTATCCAAGTGCATTTTTTGTTTATTTTTACATACAAATTTAAACATCTTACATGCTTGAATGTACTCAGATTTGTCAGCTGTCGAGTTTGTCCTACGAAATGTGTTTAACCTCTTAAATTTCCGCTTTCTCAACGCTAAACATTCGTAATCAAACCATTTTTGTTTGTGTTGTTGTTTTAAAGAACAGCTACTACTAGTCGCACTTTGTTTTGAATGGGCTGACTCCTTTATAATATGTACAATTTGATCTACATTATTTTGGTCGTCCAACGATATATGAAACCTAGCAATATTCTGAATAACCTTTTCCTGATATAAAATATTATCACGTCGAGTCCATTTTAATTTTGGGAGTAAAGGTAAAATGTTTTCATCTCTTCTCCTCACACAAATGTCGTTATCTATCGATAAGGATACTTCAATTGGCAGGTGGTCAGAGCCCGTGTGTTCAACAACTTTAAACCCCTGTATGATATCTAGACAAGATAATGAGACCGCGGCTATATCAATAACAGAGCCTCCCATTACACCTATAAAAGTATATTCCCCGCCATAATCACCCTCTGACCTACCGTTCAGTATAACTAACCCTAAATTTTCACACAGATCTAAAATTCTCTTTCCTTTATTGTTAACAATTAAATCTTTGGAGTTTCGGGTTCGTCTAAATAACAATGATTCCACTTGGTTAAAACAATATTCTGGTAAAGTTTGTTCTATACCTACACGGCCATTAACATCACCGATCAAAATAAAATCTTGAAAATTATTGTTTGTCAAAAAGTTTGATAAAGCCTGAAAGTTATCATCCCATGAATTATAATTAATATATACTGGCATTAACACTATTGATCTATTACTAACTGTATTCCTTATTTGCACTAACACATAGTTATCGTATTCAATAAAATTAATTTTGTCACAAAACGGAGAACTTAAATTAATCAAAATTATTAATCCTCCCATGTATCTTCCATGGCTTGAGCTACGTTTAGCAAAACTAAAATTCTTTTTGAAATTTTTTAACTTTTGGTCTATATATGGAGCATCAACCTCAGAAATAAATGATTCTAAAATAAAAACAATATCATACAAATTAATGAACTCTATAAAACTTAAATCATTCACCTTGGACTTTAACCCGCATACATTGTAGGCCACTAATTTTAAACTACCTATCTTACTTAAAGTACTTGTTGAGTCCGTTCGACGTACTTCTGTGGCTGGATTGGCGTAGACCCCTCAACCCCGCACTGCCTGAGAGTAGCTCGCTGTCCCTGGTCCCTGATGGCTGCTGTCGCTGGTCGCTGTCGCAGCATCCCTTGGAGTCTCGCGCCAGCTCGTGGTCGACCCCTGGTCCTCGGCTGCACCCTCCATGTCCAAAGGGGGATTTGCTAGGCGATTTATGAACTCCGAGAAGTCGTGGCGAAACATGGAATTCAGCTTTGCGACTCCGTCCTGCCTCCCTGCCATTAGCCTACCCTCCTCCCACGTGAACCTACACTTGTCTATGGTTAGGTGATCATATACCAAG